CAAGCAAATTTGTGACTGTTTCTCAGGGTATTTATCACCTTTGAGGCAAACTGCAACACAGCCATTCTGCTTGAGCTTTGAGCTCGATTACATCTTACATCTTCATATCTTAATATTCCTGGCATATATGCATGGTAAGAGAGATAGAGAGAGGTTGGGTGATGTCCATCACAGTCAGCTCTGCAGCTTCAAGGAGACATATCTCACGGCCAAACTTGAGATTTTCTGCTGTTTATGAAAAGCTGTTCCCATATGTGTCAAGGTTCTCACTAATGATGAATATATATTTGCTGTCTCAGGCAATCACGGCTTCATACTGCTCAAATTCATCACATAGTGGCAGCCCAATAGAAAAAACGAGGCGAGGTTGTGTTGCTGTGCATTGATTCCTGCTGCCTATCAATTCTAGCAATAACCGACCCACATTACAATTTAAGGTTGTCAAATGAACGCATAGTGTGATTGAAACTAAGGTAAAATGACAGGAAAGGGAAATACATGTTGGAGATGAGAATATAGCAATAGCAGAGGAATAAAGCAGAAAAAACAAGCTTGAGCAAACAGTTAGTGCCCAAAATCTCAGCCCTTTATTCACTCAAAAGCTCCCCCAAGGTAACCTCCTTATTTAGAAGTCATTTTCCAGGTGCAGCAATTTTAGAACAAAGTAGAAATTGTATGGTATTTACCTACTGAAGTCAGGACCACTAAGTCCTGATTGCTGTTTCTCTGTTGTGAGGCCTCCCTGCATTTCCACGTGCATACTGCAAAGCCACAGGCAGGGAGAGCAGCAGCAACAGGAAAACCTCAGCACAAAGCAGAGCAGGCAGCGGTGACACAGATGATATGTTTTACGGAGCCTTGTATTACTTTATCTGCAATAGCATTACAGATTATTAGCCATGTGTAATAATGCCCGATCATTAGGTACTGTTACAGATGAAATGTTGTCATTTAAAACACACTGTGGGATCTTTGTGTGTAAGGGGATACTTAAACTAAGTTTCCTTTTTGGAATAAGTCTTGATTCTCCGTTCAGGCAGGGAAACACAATTTTACTGTTATTTGATCAGAGCGATCTGCTCTTTCATTATCAGTTTCATTTCAGCCACTTGTTTCTTGGTGTACTGCTTTCTGGACATTATCTTATACTGCAGCAGTTCTAATTCTGCTTTAGACATCAAATTTCTTCTGATCCGTTTGACACCTGGTCCCAGCAGATTTGCAAACCTCTTCCACATCACTTGTGACCCACATCACCGACTTGTGATGTCGGTCTGATGTCAAAAGCAATTTGTTCCAGCAGCTCACCAGTATCCATTCTGCAAATGGATACTGGTGAGATATTTAAGATTTTGTCTCTATGATTGCACTTGGTCAGTATCCAAAGAAGCTAGTGTGTGTTTTTGTTTGTGTTTGTCAGTCAAGAAGTCACAAGTATTCCTCTCCATATTTGAACTTTTCCTCTAGATCCTAAAACCGGTTGCTATGGAGGAGTTTACATCAGTTTTAAAAAAATCACCCTGAAATAACCTTGGTAATTATTTCATTTAAAAATCTAATAATGTTTTTTTTTTTAATCTGCATGTCTATGCAAATACCATACCTACAGAACTATGCAAAATGTCTTACCCTCAATTAATGCTTTATTAATTGCATGTGATGAACTGATCTTTATTATATATTTCTCCCTGTCATTTGAAATTTATATTTATTCATGAAATAAGTCTCAAGGACTACCTTATTTTTCAATTCAAGGACTACCATGAAATAAGTCTCAAGGACTACCTTATTTCATCTGATCGGTATTGAAAAAAAGAAACATCCAGTCTAAGAGTAATGTTGAAAAACTAGTCCATGCTTTTGTCATTCTTAGGATGGACTATTTCATATTATCTTATTGTTTTAAAAACTCCCTCCACAGCCTCCAGCTGATCCAAAATGTGACAGTGAGCATACTAACAAGGTCTATAAAGAGACCGCATATTTCTCCAGTATTAGCTGCTCATCACTGGCTCAATGTCAGATACAAAACAGAATTTAAAATTCCTAGAGTTTCTTAAAGCAACTAGCTCCACAGGACATGGCCGGTGAGTTAGGTCTCAGTTTGAGCTTAGTAGACAGACATCCTGTAGTTTTAAGATAAAGGTGATGGTTGTGGCTAGCAAAGGTGAAACTCACATTACAAATGCTGCTATAGCATCACTATCTGAATTTTGAAACTTTATGCATAGAAGGTTACTGCAGATGTGGGCTGGATTTATTCTGACCACCCAAGATTTTTATTTTTCATGCACAAGAAGGTGAAATTATATTGGGTAATTATGTAGTAATAACCATTAAAGAAAATATATAATTAGGAGAATACTTTAGTCTGAGCGTGTCACCTCAGTTTATGATATAAACTCAAGGCAATCACACTGAAGTCATGCATATCTTTCCCCTGGACTTCAATAATGGATGTAAAAGTGATTTCCAGTGTTTCTGAAATGACCACCTAATGCTAAATGACTCAGCTACTGTACAGCAGCAAGCCAAAACCCAGCACCTCAGGCTAGAATAACATTTGGCTGAGACAATATGCCACCAGACCATGCCCTCCTTCATTAGTTCTGCTTGTGTGGTTTTCATGATGTTCAGAGAGCCATCTTTGACCGCCATCTGCCCTGGAAGTTTGGCTTGCCAAAAACATTAGTAAGCTGCACACACAGGGTGTATCAGTCAATGAATATGCAGCTTTTATCCATACTCATCTCCAGATGAATGTCCAAATTGTGTTACAAAAATATTTAAGTATACTACAAGATTTTGAATGGTCAAAAAAACCCCAAATAATCCATAATTATAGTTATTTAAAACAATTAGGCCCACTATACATGTGCTGGAGCTTCCTAGCCTGGTGCTTTAGTGACTAAAGGGGTAATCAGATAAATCCAAGGACATGTGCGGTAATAAGAAATTGAACACCATCCATCCATCCATCCATCCAATGTTAACCAGAATTGTTAAATACAAATAAAGATGGAGGGAAAAAAGCAAACACCCTATAGTATATGGGTTGTCTGTTGATGTGGCATATTTATATGCAGACTGTTTAAAAATGAGTTGTGACTAAAAAGGTCATAAACCA